AAGGATGAATATGGTCGACCTTTGAAACCAGATTATGTGGGAGGTTTATTCTGTTGCTATGATGGAACACAATGCAAAGTGAAAAACGGGGTTCAAAGTGTGAAAAGAAACATTTACCTAAAGTACACTGTTGAGTGGGTTGATTGGAGTGACTCCATAATACCTGTTAATATCTATATCTTTGATGTCACTGATACTTGGGAGAACACTGGAATCCATGATTGCTTGGTAAGTCGTAACTTAATCCAACCCTTCATCTTTACACATAAAATTTCTCCAACATTTTACTAAAATTTTGAATCTTACAGATTGAGTTTAATGTTGAAAAAAATGAAAACGGAATTACAACTAATGACTTCACCAGCACAAAAAGATCAAAAGCGAATTTCCCAATTTCTGGTGATGTTGTCTATGGTTCTGCACATCTTCATAGTGGTGGAATAGGTTCTGCTTTATATGGAGAGGTGAATATTTTAACTTTTTGTAGTTATGTGTTTTTTATTTTTTTTTAATCTGGATTTGTGTATAAAGATTAAAATTTATAAACTTTATTTAGGATGGACGTGTGATTTGCTCATCGAGAGCTATATATGGGGAAGGAAATGAAGCGGGAAATGAAGCTGGATATATTGTGGGAATGACCACATGTTACCCTAAACCAGGGTCTATAAAAATAACCAAAGATGAAGTTTTAACTTTGGAGTCTAATTACAGCAGTGAAAAGAGCCATACGGGAGTTATGGGGCTCTTCTATATTCTTGTTGTAGATTCTTCTTCTACTTTGGATGCTTCTGTTCAAGTAAGATTTTCTAAATCCCAAAATAGCCGATTAAGCATGTTGTTATACGTAAAGAATATAATAATTATATTGCTATCTTTCAGATTCATCAAGATTCAGTGGTGCCAATCTTCTTTTGGGGTGTAACTGTGTTTGGATTAGCAATTTTTGCAGCTGTTGTTGTTTCGTATAGGAGACAAAGGCAAAGTGAGGATGGCTACCATTCTATTTCAACTTCAACATAAATTGGTGAAACTAGATGTTTTACTTAAATGAATATGTGAAAAAAAATAAAAAAATATAAGGATATGTTGCATACGAAATAAAGTTGAATTTTTAACTTTTGTCACTGTAATCATGTATGATAGGAGAAAGAATGCTTTTGTAATATATATGGGTGGCATGACAAGTATCATATAGAAAAAGTGACAAGTTATCATTTAATAAAATATTAAAATATAGTTTAGTATAGTTTGTGGAATATTATAGTTCACCGATCACCACATGTTTGTTTGGTGGATCGATTGTGTACTTTAAAACCATGTTCATTAGAATAGAACTTAAGAAAAGTAAATTAATTTAGTTTACGCTGAAATGGAATGGAATTATTCGTTATGCCTCGTCAAAACAGCTTTGAAACAAACAAAGAAAATGGATGATGTTATGCTAATAATTAAAATTTAGAAAGCAATCATGTGAAATCGAGTGAATAAGAAAATGATAAACGAAAAAATGTTAGATGAGGTTATTTATTTATATATGTTTTTCACATCATATAATATATCTTCATTTCTTCTTTTAATTTCTACTTTGAATTTATTCTAATACACATCATATTATAACATAGTCCTGTTATGGAGCCTTAATGGTTGAGATGTTTAGTTCCATAAAAGAGGTTCAAGTTTAAGGTTTGCAAACTTGTTTCGGACCGGTTCGACGTGGACCGTCCAAAAAGTGAAATTTGCCATTTTAATGATATTAAAATATTTATTTAAATCTCAAAAAAAAAAAAAAAAAAAAAAAAGGAAATTCGGACATATGTATAGCACACGATTCATAAAATTAAGATAGAGCTAAAAAAAAATATTAATTTACAAATAAGGGAGAATAGTATTAAGGAATAAGATGGGTACAATGTTAATGTCTTTAAAAGATAATAATACCCAGCAAAAGGCAACATCAAAATACCTTTTTAAATGATTCAAACACTAAATAAAAGTAAAGTTTGATGATCTTTAAATCCCCCCCCCCCCCCCCCAAAAATAAATAAATAAATAAATAAATAAATAATAAATAAGTAAGTTATATACATATCATATTATAATATAGAGCTTAATGGAGCTTAGTAGTTAGAGTTGTTAAATTTAAAAAAGTGATTTATGTTTTAAGATTCGAAATTTATTCTGAGATAGGTTCGACGTGGATCATCGAAAACAACATTATTTATCATTTTCATGATGTTAAAATATCTGTTTAAATCTTAAACTTTTTTCTTTTCCTTTTTAATTCACGTATGTATAGCACCGTATGTATAGCACCAGTTTCATATAAAAAAGTAATATAGAGCTAATTTTTTTTTTTTTTTTTTTTTTTTTTAATAAATATAGGAGAATAGTATTAAGGAATAAAAAAGGTATAGGGTTAATGTCTTTAATAATGAACAAGGCAACATCAAAATATCTTTTTAAATAATTGAAACACTAAATAAAAGTTTGATGATATTAAAATCCACAAAAAATAATCTAAATGAGTTATATATTTTCCACACTAAAATTAGGTGTCCAAAAGACTATTTTTAGACGCAAATTTTAAGGATAAAAAACCTAAATATTTAAAAAGCTTTAAAACACTATTTGATATTAAATTTTGTTAGTTTTAACATCTTTAAATCACTATTTTAATAATATTAGTATTCTGTCATCCAACACATTATGGTGGTAAACATCTTTACATATTGAATCATAAAAACATAAAATAAAGTTTTGAACAACACAACTATTTATGAAGAAGGCGGACAAACAAAATGAAAACATATCTTGATTCGTATAATACATTTCATATTATAATATAGAGCTTAATGGAGCTTAGTAGTTGAGTTGTTTAATTTAATAAAAGTGATTTTAGGTTTTAAGGTTCGAAACAGAACGGGTTCGATACGGATCATCGAAAACAATATAATTTATCATTATTATGATATTAAAATATGTGTTTAAATCTCAAACTTTTTTCCTTTTCTTTTTAATTCACATATGTATAGCACCAAATTCATATAAAATTAACATACAACTATTTTTTTTAAATTTTTTTACAAATAAAGGAGAATAGTATTAAGGAATAAAAAATGTCTAGCGTTAATGTCTTTAATATCGAAAAAGGCAACATCAAAAATACCTTTTTAAATAATTAAAACGCTAAATAATTGTTTGATGAACTTAAAATCCACAAAAAAAAAAAAAAAAAAAAAAAAAAAAATCTAAATGAGTTATATATTATTTTCCACACTAAAATTAGGTGGCCAAATGCCTGATGAACTTAAAATCCACAAAAAAAAAAAAAAAAAAAATCTAAATGAGTTATATATTATTTTCCACACTAAAATTAGGTGGCCAAATGCCTACCAATGTACAAATGACGAATTTTTAGACACAAATTTAGAGGATAAAAAACCTAAATATTTGAAAAGTTTTAAAAGATTATTTAATATTAAATTTAGTTAGTTTTAACATCTTTAAATCACTATTTAAATAATATCAATATTCTATTATCCAACACATTACAGTGGTGAACATCTTTACATATTGAATCATAAAAATATAAAATAAAGTTTTGATCGACACAAATATTTATAAAGAAGATGGACAAAAAAATGAAAATATATTTTGATTCGTATAATACATAAATAACAATTAATTTTAAAAACTATAATAATAAAAAAATAGTATTAATATAAACAATAACTATAAATAAATTATGTAAAAAGAAAAAAAAAACGGAAGTTAAAATGTAGTAAGAGAACAAAATTGTAATTTATAAAATACTAATAACATAAAAAAGAAGTGAAAACCAACCATGAGATCAAAATCAATTAATGGGTAAGGAATATAAAAACAAATGAAGCTTAATGGTTGGAAATGAAAAACAAAATGAATGGTAAATATGTATATGACCCACTTTCTAGTTATTAATATATATAATATTCTAAACATAATATTATTTATAAAAGTATTACATGTTTAATGTCTTTATCATAATATTACAATTTTTAAAATTTTAAAATGTTAATAATATTTTATTTAAATATTACGAATAGTATGATATGTATTCATTATTAATAATATTCTTGTTTGAATATCAAATAATAAAGACGGTGATTTTTTAAAACATTTTTTTATATCAAAGGTGATGAAAATCAATTCCATAAACGAAATTTGAAGTTTTTAGTGAGATATTAGGGGTGATAATTGATGATATATAACACGATAAAAATATAAGATACGAATCGAAATTAAAACAAAAGGTTTCTTTGTTTAAAAAAAGGAAATTCGTATCAAATGTAAAAATAATATGTTATGTCATGTAATCTCCGTGTTCAAAATTTAACACGAAATTAAAAGGATTTAATATTTGTTTATCGTGTTATGTATGATCAGGTATTAATTTAATATACTAATTGTGATGTATTGGTATTAATAAATTATCATGATGTCGTATTAAACAAAAACACATTACTCGTTTCGTATAAACATTTCGTTACATATGCATATTTATGGATATCTTGAAATTGATACGAATTACTTCAGTCTGATAACAAGTTAGATTAAATATGTTTTTATAAATACATCTTGCAATGTTGTGATAGAACAACCATTGGAATAAAGTATAAACATACGAATAATGGAATATACCATGGTTATGTAACCTCTAAAATATAACTTTATTTATAAGAAAATCCCCTCTCAAAAATATTTATTTCGTGAATTAAAAATAAAAATCTCCTTTCCATAAAAGATTCTTGATCAAAAATTTCGCACACACAGATAACGCGTAGTATAATTTACTCTAACCATCGTCACCTTCATTTCCCCATTTCTCGCTTTTCTCTCTCACACGCACTAATGTGTGTGTGTGGAGGTTTCTTTGATCGATTTCAACATACACCCTGTATTATCGGGTCTTTCCACCCCACTCACTTTAACCCCCTGACCTCTCTCATGCGCCATTAACAAAAGCTCCACAATTTTGACCCGGAAAGATTGAGCCTTTCTTTGAATCGATTGGGTCAAGTTATCGGTTAACTTTCAAAGAATCTTCCAATATTATTTCTACTGTATGCGTTTTGATTTCTTGGAACCTAATTCCACATATAGATCTTTTCCCTTACAGCAATTTTGGGATATGTTTTCGAGCAATTAAGGGTTTATTTCTTGATGGCATCATCTGCGATTAAGCATGTCGGAGATCACCACCGGCGTCCATCTTCCGCAAGGGACTTACCGGCGGGATGCTGTAATCCTGTCAATGAGCAGGGACCGGTGACAATCGAACATGTGTTATTGGCGTTAAGAGAGACAAAAGACGAGAGAGAATCACGATTTCGAGGGTTGTTTAATTTCTTCGATACATCAAACGCAGGGTACTTGGATTCTGTGCAGATCGAGGTAGGGCTATCGGCGATGCAAATTCCGGCGGATTACAAGTACGCGAAAGAGTTACTTAGGGTTTGCGATGCAAATAAGGATGGGAGAGTTGATTATCAGGAGTTCAGAAGGTACATGGATGACAAGGAGCTTGAGCTTTATCGTATTTTTCAAGCCATTGATGTCGAACATAATGGTTGCATTTTGCCAGAAGAGCTCTATGATGCTCTCGTTAAGGCTGGTATTCTATCATACTTCCCCCCTTTATCTTCTCTGCAATTTACTTCCAATTTTTCCCTGAAGTTTATAATTCTCTTCTCAACAAGAACAAATTCAAACACCCTTCGAGTTGTCTTCCTCTTATTAGCCATGGCAGCTTTTCTTTTGCAGGGATAGAACTTGACGATGACGAACTAGCAAGCTTCGTGGAGCGAGTTGACAAGGACAACAATGGCATCATAACATTCGAAGAATGGAGAGACTTTCTTCTTCTTTATCCTCACGAAGCAACCATCGAGAACATTTACCAATACTGGGAAAGGGTTTATCTTGTCGACATCGGAGAACAACCCATAATTCCAGCAGCCATGAACAAACATGTACCCGCCAGCAAGTACCTGATCGCAGGTGGGGTTGCCGGAGCTGCTTCCCGTACAGCCACCGCTCCTCTCGATCGCCTGAAAGTCCTCCTCCAAGTCCAAACGTCAAACGCATCAATTGCATCCGCAGTCAAGAACATTTGGAAAGAAGGTGGGGTTTTATCTTTCTTCAGAGGTAATGGACTAAACGTTATTAAAGTCGGCCCTGAAAGCGCTATAAAGTTTTACACTTACGAAATGTTGAAGAACTTCATCGGAGGGGAAGAAGGTCAGGGCGATATCGGAACTTCCGGTCGTCTTCTCGCCGGCGGTATGGCCGGTGCTGTTGCACAAACAGCGATTTATCCAATGGATTTAGTCAAAACCCGGTTACAAACTTTCGCTTCTGAAAACACAAAAGTTCCCAGTTTGGGAAAGCTTTCAAAGGACATATGGGTTCATGAAGGACCTCGAGCTTTTTACAGAGGGATTGTACCTTCTCTTTTCGGAATTATTCCTTATGCTGGAATTGATTTAGCTGCTTATGAGACTTTGAAAGAAATGTCAAGAACATACATTCTTGAAGACAGTGGTATGAATATCATTATCAATTTATCATCTCAATTACACACATCTCACACCCTATTTTGACATGATAACGATGAATCTTTGGTTAATTTTATGATGCAGAACCTGGGCCTTTGGTGCAATTAGGTTGTGGCACAGTTTCCGGAGCTCTAGGAGCCACTTTTGTTTACCCTTTGCAGGTTGTCAGAACAAGGTAACTTTGCATTTGCTTTTATCTGACATCTGTCTCTGTCTGTGTTGTGTTCTGATGATACTGTGGTTATCAGGATGCAGGCTCAAGCGCCACGTGGATCGACTGCATATAAAGGGATGTCTGATGTGTTCATGAGAACGTATCAGAAAGAAGGAATGAGAGGATTCTATAAAGGGCTTTTACCCAATCTTCTTAAAGTTGTTCCAGCAGCTAGTATTACGTATATGGTTTATGAGACAATGAAGAACAGTTTAGATCTTGAATGATTGATTGTGTTGTGGTAATTTTTGTGATACTGACATGATGATGATGATGATGATGATGATGATGAGAAATAAGAATAAGAATGGTAATTGTAATGGCCATTGTTTGAGTTACATAATAGGTGTTAATTTTGCGGGGGTTTTGTAGGGAGGAGGTATCCTGGTATATCTTGTTCCTGTTGTCGATTTGTTGAGAACTATGTATACTTGCAACTAGGTCATGCCTAAATTCAATATATTACAACTTTCTGATTCTTTTTTACATTGATACATGTTGAATTGTGGAAATTCTGCTGTTTTAACTTGTATTTGTTCCATGGTATCTAAAACAAGTTATTCAAGCAAGAATAAGAAAGAAAGAAAGAAACACTTGTAGATTCAACAATTTTAAGTCAAATGGTTGGAAGTTTAATCATTAATGAATATATGAATATGACTACCACTTGACCTAATCTTTTGTACAACTTGTGCCTAGTTGGAAGTCTAATAATTCATTCATTGTTACAGAGGCTGAACTTGATCCAAATATTATTCGATAATTAAAACCTTGGATATCAAAAAGATTTGTGTTGGACACTTTTCTTAAAATATTTTTTGACACTAGAATGGACAAACATAGCGTATATGATCAACAAAGAATATTGATAGCATCAATGCCATAAAAGTAGCGTATCAATGTATACACTCTACAGCTTCTAGGCAAGTTTGCAGGCTTAGCTTATAATCCCACTTGAATACTTGATACCCGTGTGAGTTTTAACTGTTAAAGATGATTGATGAAATCTAAATTAACAATAAGAAACAACCATGTATAGTTGCCTATATGAAAAAGTACTTAATCTATTAAGCTCATCAAGAAACAACCCTTGGTCTTTAGCATTTAAATTAAGGTGTGATGGTTAGCTATGATGTAATATTATAAGGTTGATCTAAATAGCATCAAACTTCATTAGGCGATACAGTAATTAGATCATTCTTTAATTCGTTAAAGTGTTTTAGCTCTTTGTATTCTATTCACTACATACCTCAAGCCCTTTTGGGGGGGTTGGACAGAGGGCCTTGGAAACAGCTCGATAGTTCAAAATCTTTCATACTTTACCACCGATCTACTTTTCTTTTGCTTAACCATCAAGGTAATCTTCATCAACTTTTTTTTTTTTCCATCAAATCTGGTTTCACAAAATGTCATTTTCTGGTCGGTTTGACTTCTGACCCAATTTTTGACATTTGTAAAGTGTCAGAACCATAAAACCCAATCTACAAATTCGAAACTACAAAGTGTAAAGGCCAACATGCCATTATTCTTTCCAACTTCAAATCGCTTGCAACCACACAATCAATCAATGAATACTCAAAGCAACAAGTTTCAATTAACGCCTCAAGGAGAACGGATCAACAACCATACATCATCAACCATAGAAAAACAAACAATAACAATAACAACAGCATACCAAATATCTGTTAACGATCATGACAACACTCCTCAAATAATACAAACTAAAAAAAAAAAAAAAAAAAAAAAAAAAAAAAAAACACAAAACACACATACAACTTCAAGAAAACCGCTGGAAGAAAGGCGTCACCTTCCCTTTGCCTGAATGACTTGCCTCTTAGTTTCAACCTCCCTTTCTACTAATCAATCGATCACAAAACAATTGAATGAAGAAGGTTGTTCTTTGCATTCCGTGCTAGGCCAAAAACGAGCTTCAGCCCCCAAATGCCTTCTTCTTCTTCTTCTTCTTCTTCTTTGGCGACATGTTTGATTCACAGAGAGGCGATGGTGATCTCTTCTTACGCCAGTCAAGTGAATATATATAACACGGTGGTCGCGGTTGGTAATTTAGTGAAAAGTAGAAAGAGACCGATGTCTATAATGGAATTCTCCTAATGGTCCCCCTTGTCTTTATTCTCAAAATTAGCCTTATAATCATGCACCACTAAAGTAACAAACAAACAATATATATATATATATGCATCAATAGAAATTTATAAAAAAATAAATAGTTAAATAAATCATTTAAAATTGTTACAGTAATCTTTGCATATTTAATTATGGTAGATAATTAATATGTTATTTATTATTCTTTTAAATATGGAATGTCAAAGTCAAAATCTCTATTGTTTATTATTCTTTTAAATATGTGATGTCAAAGTCAAAATCTCAAAAAAAACATTGATGATTTTGTTATATTCTTTGTTTCTTGGAAACCATTGATGGTTTTCTTTTTGTAAAAATTCCAAAAAAAAAAAAAAACATCGATGCTTCATTTTTGTGATTTCACAAAAGTTGTCTGAAAAGTGAATCAAACTTTGATTCATTAAAAAAATCATATTATTTTTGTTTTATCTAATGATTCATTTGGTTGGTTGACCAAAAAATATACAAATAATACATTTGTTACTTTTCCTACTAGATATTTACTTATTATTTGATTTTGATACTCTTTCTCTCTCTCTCTCTCTCTCTCTATATATATATATATATATATATATATATATATATATATATATATATATATATATATAAGATCAAATAGGAATTTACAAAATATTAGGAACTGCGAGTACAATTTTTAGCCTTAAGATTGAAAAAATAAACGACCAACATTTGATTTTATTTATCGTTAAAATCTCTCGACATGATATGACATTTTTGTAATTAATTTCGAGATTTTGATAATTTTCGGGGAATGTTAATTGTTTGGAGGGTACAAGTGACAAAAAAAATTTTAAAAAAAATAAAAATAAAAAAAAAAATATTCAACCTATGTGGCCTTTCCAATCCATGACACGTATCTTCACCCCCAACATGACACGTATCTTCACCCCCAACATGACAAGTGTCTAACCCTTATTGGATGGTAGAGTTTTTTTTTTTTTTTTTTCCCAAACGCTTAGTTTTTCAGTTATAATTTTTTTTTCTTTGAATAAAAGATTCTAAAAAAACCAAAGTTCTTAAAATTTAAATCTCTACAAAATGAGCAAAATCATGAAAATTTGACAAAAAAAAATTATTTTTTATATTTATAAAAAATCCACAAAATAAACATTCTCCAAAAATGATAAAAATTTGAGGAATATTTCTACTAACTATTCTAATGACTTAATACAAATGAACTTTTCCAAAAATGAGATATTTTAGATACCAAACTTGATTTTAAAAGATTAAAGGTTTTTAAAAAATACTGAACATAATATGATCCAAATAGAAATGATTCAAATATTTATGATTCAAAAGCATTATGATTTAATATGTTTATGATCTTTAATTTGTTATGATCTAAAAATATTTTAATTCAAATATTTAATGATTTTTAATTATTATATTTTTTATGATTTAAATTAAATGATTGAAAAAATATAATAATCCAAATGTTTTATTGAACAAAACCTTTATTTAATTCAATATCTTATGATCCAAATTAATATGATCCAAATTAACATGATCAAAAAATGTATGATGCATAATATTATTATGATTTAAAAATAATATGATTCAAAATTTTATAAAAAAAAATAATATGATTCAAAAAAAGTATGAAAAAAAATTATAATTATTAATATTCTTCTTGTTTAAAATTTTATAATTGTTAAGTATTAAAAGCTCAAATCGATATTTAATCTAAAAAATCAAAAACTTAAAAAAAAGGAAAAAAAAATCAAAAATATACACAAAAATAAAGAAAATGCCCTAGTATCTTCAAGCGTGTAGCAAAGATACTAAAAATCGAAAAAAAAAATTAATGATTTTTTTTTAAAATGAAAAAAAAAAGAATTTTTTAAAAACAAAAAAAAAAAAAACGAAAAAAAAAAAATAAAAACGTTAAAATCGAGCATATATATATATATATGTTTAAGTTTTTTCTTTTTGAAAATTTTTAGTGAAAAATGATGCAATGCGTTGGACGTTGATGTCTAATTCTCGAATTAGTTTGTAGAGGTTGTTTGCTAGAAATTAGATGATTTAGTGATGAACAACTTACCGAACGATTGAGTAGTGTTTGCTCTAGTTGCTAAATGGAAAAAATTTCATTTGAACCTTCTAACAAAAGCCAAACTCAAACCAAACTCCTATCGTGTTTGAATTTGTTTTTAAAATGATTTTTTATCTTTTTTTTTTTTAAAAAAAATCAAAAATTTTAATAAGATATATGAGAACTTTAAAAGTTCTTTTAAAATAACTTTTGGGTAAGAAGAAAACATTCATTTTCAAAAATCATAAAATGCTATTTCTTGCTCAATTTTGGGATTTTAAAATGTAAAAACCTAAAAACTATTGCACATATATTTTTAAAACTTCTTTTGGCAAAAATAAGAAGTCAATGAAGATTTTTATGAAAATGACTTTTGAACTCAAAAAACTCACACTCACCCAAACAGCCCTTAAAAAAATGAAAGTATGATTAAACCAAAATACCTTCAAGAATCATTCTAAACCGTAGTGGATTATGAATTAATTCTTAACAACCTTGTGATTCAAAAATATAATTAACATATGTGTCGTGTGTTGGAATGAATTAAATTACATTTTAGTTTATGTGATTTCTTGTTTTGTTTTAGGATGTATATTTGGAACATTACTTGCTAGGGAAGTTATAAAAGAATTATAAAATCATTTGATTTTATGTTGTAAAGGTAGTAAATTTCCAAATGAGTAGAAAATATCACAATACAATAAAAGTTAATGTGTTCGTGTTCATTTGATAGTTCCATTAAACTAAACAAACAATTATAAATAAACCATGTTTCTGTCACTTCGGTTGTTTACAACTCTAACCACACTATATGCAACCTTCAAAATGTCATCGTTGTTTTCTAAGAAACTCATGTCTTCAAATAAAATACTAGTCAAAATATACTTAGGCAATAGCATGCGTAATGAGAATAGTCGACATTGATTCATTTTAAATATATAAATATAACAATATATACTTAGGCAATGCAATGTCTATAAGAATACTTGACGTTGATTCATTTTAAATATATAAATATAACAATATATACTTAGGCAATGAAATTTCTAATAAGAATACTCGACGTTGGTTCATTTTAAATATATAAATATAACTATAGTTATCCTCTCAATAGTTATACTCGAATCAAACCTTTAAAATCAATTTTACATCAACCTAATATAAAAAATTTAATAATCTCAAGGTTTGGTACTATAATCCGTAAATTAAAATGAAAAGGTCATAATGACATAAAATTCAAAGCCAAAGGTTTAATCGATAATAAAGGCATATGACAAAAGGGTTTGTAGCCGTAATCTATAATATAGGTTTAACTCGTAATAAAAAAAAATTCTGAAAGTTT